CTTGGTTGAAAGTGCGTTGTTGTTACCGAGCGTACATAAGAGTTTCAACTCCCAAGACGAAACTGATAGGGAAATTCTACGAAGTCAGGGGATTGAAGTATGATAAAAATGGTCACGCATTTTTGACTTAGCAATGGGTGTAGCAAACTTTCTGATCAGACAGTGTAATAGACAACTGATGTAGATTATCTATCCTCTCAAATGAAATAATCATAATTAGCACAATGGACCCTTTGAGCCAGCTTTTTGCTAGCTTCTCTGTTAAATACATTTGTGAAAGAATTATCACACTACTAGAAAAAGTACTGAAGCCAACTTTACAAAATCGACCTTTTGCCGCTGTGGAACTTTTCTGCAGAAACAGAGGTTTTGTATCTCGCTCCTTATGCTAAGTGAAGATGTCACACAATGGAGGCTGCTTCAGGAAGATTAAAGCTATCTCAGAATAGCTGCTTTCAAGCAAAAAGATAAAGACAGTTCTCAAATTTAATGTTGGAAAAAGTTTATTGATTCTTAACGAAGGAGAGCTAGTAGAGGTGAAAATCTCAACAAAATTTGAGTTGTAGTAGAAAATCGGAGGACTGGAAATGTAGACATTTTAATCTAGTTACTGAAAAATTCTTCGAATGTGCAGATAATCGCCAATAAATACTGAGAACACCAGCATGAATGACTTCTTGCCCCGTAAGACGCCTTTGCTCTCTCAATCAGTTGCATTTCTGATCAATTTGACATTGAAATTTTCACTTTCGTCCGTCTTTTCTGTAACAGGTATAACATTTGAACCAAGATCTCAGCCAAAACAATTTTAGGAGGATGTCTACATAAACCTTAGCCTTAGTTTAGGATAAAAACTCAAGTGTCTTAAAATGTAGGAAGTTGTCCAGAAAATGCTGAAAATTTTCAAAATTGTGTTTCTCGTTGCATCGCCAATACCTTAGGGATACGCTCCATTCAGGACGACCGTCCGGGTTTTTCAATTTTTTGGAGCCTAAGTTGTCAGACACTATCGGTGACGCGAAAAAACCAACAAAGTCTTTTTTTGTTCAAGGCTGAGATATCTGCGCGAGATGACCTAACTTCAGCAATATATTTCCTGCGATGATAGAAAAGGGACAAACTTTGCCTAGATATTTTTCAACGCGCATCTTTGTGAATAGGCTTGAGACAATTTCACAAAATTTTAAAAAGGTGATGACAACTGCTTCATATTATAGGTAAAAGTTCATCTTCTCGCACTAGTTTTCCAGTTTTATAAGAATTATAA